TATTGGAGTGATGAGCAGTCGAGCGAGAGCGCTACATCGGACACAGACAACCGACTAGGACTTGACTCGACCTGCATCTTTACAGAGCTCAATTCGGTCGAACGTGCCAGGTTTCCCATCGAGCGACACCTCCCAAAGCACACCCTTTTTGAGGCAATGGCAACTCAAGAGATTGTCACTGATTTTCAACATCTCACCAATAGCCACAGTGGCTGCCTCTGCCGGTATCTACGAACGGACACGTGTCAGCAAGAGACTCTTGATGCGATATTTTCCCGTTGTTTCGCCTAGTTTTACCCCCCAATATCATTTTTTCACTTTACAAGGACCATTCGTCCGGTGATCTTGCCCGCCCTCAGTAAGTCCATCGCTTCATTGACCGAGTCCCAGGGCAATTTCTGGACGGGCACAGGCGCGAGCTTTCCTTGCTTCGCCAGCTCCACAACGTCTCGCAAATGCTCCAGGTTTCCGGTGATGTTTGAATAGATTGTAAGGCCTTTGAAGATGTTGGCCACTAGCGACAGCTCGATCGACCCTCCCATCACGCCGACCTGCACCCATTTGGCCCCTTTGGCGATCAGGCTGTTGACCAGACTGGCGGTGCCTGAGTTGTTCACAAAATCAATCACCGCAATGACCGGCCCGTTGGTTGCCGCGAGAATATCCTGGGTCGCCGAGGCCGAGTTGGCGGTATTGACCGTCCTTGTCGCCCCGGCCGCGCGCGCAATGGCCAACTTCTCGTCGCTGATGTCGGTCGAGACGATGTTTTTATGCCCATACGACTTGAGCACTGCTATTGCCGCCAAACCTAGGCCTCCCGCGCCAATGAGGAGGACTGGTTCATCCGGCGGTAAGGGCATCACTTTACTGACGGCGCTGAAGGTAGTGATCCCAGAACAGCCAAAGGTACATGCCACGGCAGGGTCGAGATCGCCTAGGTCGACCAGATATTTGGGATCAGGAACCACGACGTACTCGGCGAAGCCACCGTTGCGTAACGTCCCTAGCCCCCGTTGCGCGGCGCACAGGTTGTCTTCTTCTTGGGTACACCGCGTACAGGAGCCACAGCCCAGCCAAGGATACACGATTTGCGGAGATCCCAGCGGTATCGACCCTGCATCTGGCCCGACGGCGGCGACTTCTCCCAAGATCTCATGGCCCAGGGCGATCGGCAGTTTGATGCCACGGTCTTTGACGTAGAATCGCTTTCCTCCCCCGATGTCGTAGAAGCCTTCAGCGGAATGAAGGTCTGAATGGCACACCCCAGCATGAGTGACCTTGATCAAAACCTCTTTGCCTGTGGGCTTTGGCACGGGCTGGCGGATTTTCTGCAGAGTGGCGCCCCATTCGGTCAGGGCCCAGACGTCCATTTGGTCAGCCATTGTGTTCGATAGTAAATCGGTCAGGTGACAATCCGAGGCACTGTAATAGACAGAAGCGAAATAGTGATCTTGCTTAACACATCCAGATATTCGATTCCGGACAGATTTATTCCAGAGGTTCGTCCGGTCTTGCCGAGGAGCAGAGTCATGAGCAAGCCCACCACCTAGGTGCTCGCAGCCATAGCTCCACGTCCTCGTCGAGTCCGATGGTCGGGCGACTGCCGAAGCAAGAGGCAATTAATTGGGCCCGGTGGTGCTGGATCTCGTTGTTCGGCGAGTCCCTTATTTCGGACCGGGAAGCCGCACAGCTCCATCAACCATCCGTTCCCAGCTCGATGGGTGACGCGGCTTTGAGAACCCCAAACGCTACAACAAGCTGTTTCCTGAACGAACGGCCAGTACGAGATACGTGTAATATTAAGTGGAATAGCTTGATTGATTAGGCATATGCCGCGGTGGACATTATTCGGCTAACATACCTGATATGGTTAGGGCAACAGTGCCGGCGCCAAGTAACTTAAAGCGAGGGAACCCTCGAGCTTTATCACATTGTTGATAGCTCAAGTAAATATGACCCGGTTGGCTGGATTATTGCCTATAGATATGTCACCCAGGTGCTCGACCGATATTCCTGGTGTTACCGAAACAGACGCCTACGGCTGTTGTACTGCAGAGTCAAAACGGTTCGACGTCTATCGAGTAGATTAGTTTGGATATGGTGCTGAGCTTTTTTTCAGTCTTGAATGGCCAGTCATCTGCCCAGCTGAAAAGGTGTCACATGCCAGGTATCAGACTTCCGTGCCGCTTAAACACCCACAGCACCACGTTCAAGCCTTGGTATGGATATCCTGGGTAACCTGGGGAAGGGCCTCGACGTGGGCCGATCCCGCCTGGAGCTTCATCTCCACCACATCCTGGGCCTCGAAATGGCCATGCTGGTCGTCGGCCAGCGCACGGTCCATTTCTTCCAAGTGCCAGCCGGCCGTCTGCAGGCGCATGTCAGCATTTGGGTCCATTTGGTCCCGGTGGTTAAGGAAATGGTACATACCTCTGGCAAGTAGAGGAACAGATAGATTGTGTGCACCACGGTCAGACAGTTGAACACCAGGTAGTACTTCCAGCCGATACTGGCTGTGGCCGTAGGCAGGAGATTTAGCCAGAGGGTCACCGAGAGGAAAAGACCACTGATAGAAACCGCCGACGCTTGGCTTCTGATGTGAGTGGGGAAGACTTCGGTCGCCGCGGTGAACTGGTTGAGATCGATGAATGAATTATAGCTGGCTCGTACCGATGCAAAAAGGTATTAGCCGGTGCATGCGCAAATTGTGCCGCTCTGGGGGGTGGGGAGAGCCTACCAAACGACGTAGACATAGATCATGGTTGTTGCCGCCGCCGCCCAGCCCTTTGACGGCGATGTGTTGTATTTACCAATCATTCCGGTGAGGACCGCAAAGACACCGGTGATCAATATGTAGCCAGTGACTGTTGGCACAGGATTTGTCAGATCATTTCACGAGCCCAAGGGGTCTATTTTGTACTCACGCAAGGCCTTCCTCCTGCCGAGACGGTCCGAGATGAGGCCCCCGATGCAAGCAACCACCAAACCAAGGGTGTTGTACCCGGCGGACAAGAGCAGCGAATCTGTGGCGCCGAGACCGAGCGAGTTGTAGAGCAGGACATTGTAGTTGTTGATCACCAGCGGTCCAATATTCTGGCCGCCGACCATGATCAGCCACGCCAGCAGCAGTCGTTGCCGGTTGGCCTTTTTGCTGAACAAGCGCCATGGCCCATCGGTTGCGATGATGATCTTCTCGGCCTCGCACCGCTGTTGGATCAGCTGCAGCTCTCGGTGAGCAAAGGCGTCGGTGGGATCTTTGGGGTCATGGTGAAGTCGGATCAAGATTGACAGGGCTTTTTCAGGGTTGTCGTGCTGCACCAAGAATCTAGGGCTTTCCGGAACTTCGAGGGATGTGAGTATTCCTGACACGACCTTTTTTTTTCAAGTTCATGGGAAAAGGCAACGAAAACGCACCATAGAAGGATCCGGCCAAAAGACAGAGAGCCCAGATGACGACCACGGCAAATGGGAATCGCCATGCGAAGACCGACTTGGGGGTGTAATAACACCCGAATCTACACATATCCTTGGTGAGCCATGGACGGCGGGTACTAAACATTGCTGGGCCACATTACCCAATCCACCCCGCGAGGCAATAGCCCAAATTGATAAAGATGGCGTGCGCTCCCGTGATCAGACCTCGAGAGTGAGGAGGCGACACTTCGGCGAAATACGTCGGCATGGCGGCCATGGTATGGCCTGCCGCCAGTCCAGCTACTGCTCGTGCAACCAGGAACTGTTCAAATTTTAGTCAGAGAACGCATGCGTGAGAGGGGAGGTAGGTCGTCGGGGTCGAACCATTGCTTGTGACTGCGATCCGCATTGAAGTGCCCCTCCGAGCACGCCAGTCACGGCAGCGATACGGAAACCGTTGACTCGACCGAGGCGATTTCCTGCCCAACCGGCCAAGAAGCAGCCGAAAAACCCTGTGCCAAAAAAGACGCCATTTGCGGCACCCAAGATGTCGTTGGTGTGGCCGTATCCGGGTAGCGTCGCCGATGCCACGAGGTTGAGTGACGAGTAGAAGGTCGGCTGGCCCAGGGTAAAGGCGAAGACGGCGAGGGAGTAGCCCGTGAAGAGAGAGCCAAACGCGGCAAAACACACCACCTGTGGCCTATATCAACGCTATGCTGCTGACTGGACGATGCGCTCAGACTTACTCGGATGTTATACCAGCTGTAGGTTTCCATCGCAGCGGCGGTATGGAGTTGCGTCAACCACTGAGCCAGACCATGGCAGATATCATGGGAGCAGGACCCAGAAGTTGGGGTTGCCCCAAGTTATACATGATCGGGCGGGGATGATAGACCCTGGAGGGCGTGGAGTACATGAACATAGGAGCCACATGTATTCCAAATTTCATATCGGGAACAGGTAGACAAGGATGTGGGCCGGATCTTTGACCGGGACTATACCTTGAACTATCTAGCGAGCTCGGTGGAGGGCCCCATGTAGGACATAAGTGGAACAACTTGATTGATTGACAAGTTGTGCGCGCAGGAAATTATTCGGCTAACATACCAGATAGGGTTAGGACAACACCCCAGACTTTGTGGCCTCGGTGGATGCCTCAAAACGCCCTCCAGCTGTGGAGCCGATAAGAAACTCTGATTTGCAGGTTAGAATTGCGAGGCGCGGCATTCACCGACCTCCTGACACGTCGCCAGGCTTCTGGTCGTGGCAACTTGGTATAGACATCGATAATGGACGAGACGGGGAACTAGCCGAAGTGCTTCTGGGCTTCTCTGGGCCACAGATCGAAGATTCCCGGATTTATCTACGGCAGATACCCTGGGTTCGGGAAAACCAAACTGCCCAAAGTATACGTTGCGCAAGCGAGGACTCATATAAACACGCCCCGTGGCATATAACGCCCGTGACATATCAAATGCCTATTTCGCACACCCCGCCGCTTTACTGAACTTTTGCGATTTTGCTCTTGTCGAAGTGATCATCGTGAGGGGACAAATACCAGCAAACTCTCCGTCGCTATATCGCTCATGACGGTGTCCAAGAAGGCCGACTACGATGCAGTCGTCGTCGGTGCTGGCTTCAGTGGCATTCGGACCATCTGGGAACTGGTCCAACTGGGTCTGACGGTCAAATGCTTCGAGGCCGGGTCGGATGTTGGTGGTGCCTGGTATTGGAATTGCTATCCTGGCGCTCGAACTGATAGCGAGGCTTGGGTCTACCGACTCAACTTTGATCCGAAAATCAAGGATGAATGGGGCTACCAGGAGCGATATCCGTCGCAGCAAGACGTTCAGCGCCATTTGAGGCATGTTACTGGTCCGTTGACTGTGGTGGCCCCCCAAGGGGAAGAACCTCGTTTGGCTGACAGTACCGAATACAGACCAGTACAATTTACGCCAGTACATCACGTTTGACAGCCGGGTCAAGAGCGCACACATCGGTGAAAACAACGTCTGGACCATCACCACGGTGGATGGCAAGACGACGACTTGTCGCTACTTTCTGCCGGCCACGGGACCTTTGTCGATCGCAAAGGAACCCCCATTTCCCGGGCTGAAATCTTACCAGGGCGAGTGGTACCAGGCGGCCATCTGGCCCAAGAAGAAGATAGATTTCCGCGGTAAGCGGATCGCGGTCATAGGCACGGGGGCCACCGGCGTCCAGATCATCCCCAAGATTGCGCCCGCCGCCAAACATCTGACCGTGTTTCAACGTACACCAAACTACGTGCTCCCAGGTCGAAACTACGTCATTGACGAACATCAGGCCGCAGACATCAGGCAGAAGCACGAGGATACGTGGGACCACGCATCGAGACAGAGCTCGGGCTTGGCCATGTATAGGTCGGGTCGGACACTTCAGAGTGTCGGGGATGCCGACAAGATCAGGCAGATCTTTGACGCCGGTTGGGAGTGCGGTGGCTTCCACTTTCAGTTTGAGACGTTCGACGACCTCTTTACGAGTAAAGAGGCGAACGAGGCCGCCTCGGAGTACATCCGCCAGAAGATTCGCGCCGTGGTCCAGAACCCCGAGACGGCGGAGAAGCTCTGCCCTAAATATCCCTTCCTGTCTAAACGCCCGCCGTGCGGCCACTTTTATTACGAGGCGTTCAATCGACCCAACGTCGAGCTGGTCGACATCAGCCGCGACGACCTCGAGCTCTACGAAAAGGGCATCCGTACCAGCTCGGGTGGGGAGTACGAATTCGATATGATTATCTTCGCCTTGGGCTTCGACGCCGCCACCGGTGCGCTGAGCGAGATGGACGTCAGAGGCAGCCAGGGCGTATCGCTCGGCGATGTCTGGGCGAAGCAACTCGAAACCTATGCCGGCGTCCTCGTGCGTGGATTCCCCAATATGTTCTTGGTCTGTGGCCCCCACATCCCCTTTGGAAACATGCCCGTCGTGCTGGACATCCAAGTCAAATGGATCGGCCACACGATCCGTCATATGGAGGACAAGAGACTGGCCAAGGTCGACGTGTCCGAGGAGGCCATGGCCCAGTGGTCTTCTCACTTGCATGAGGCGTTCGAGGCCACCCTCTTCGCCGAGTCGGCCAAGGCCGCCGGGGCCTGGTTCGTCGGCGCAAATATCCCCGGCAAGGCTTCTGATATTCTGTTCTATTTTGGCGGCGTCCCGGCGTGGGCAGCTTGGTTGGAGAACGAGAGAGAGGCCGGATGGCCGAGCCTCGACTTCGGTGCTGGAGAAGAAGTCCCGAATGGCCATAGAGTGAACGGTGATATCACGATCGATTCGCGCGAGCTGGTGGGTGGTCGTGTCTGAATCTTGGAACTTCTTAGAACTTGGAGAACGCTGTAGACTTGAGATAAACAAAGAAATATCTAAAACATTGATGAAATATACCTTCTTTTCTAAACCAAGATCATCCAATCGTCCATTCGAGATGGACTTTGAGCCAACGGCGTTATTGTATACTTCTGCTTGCAAGGGCTATACTTGAAAACTACATGCCACCTCGCCCTCCGGATACCTTCACTGGTGATTAGAAGTCCGCTGACTTAGGAACCTGGGATAAACCCGACTTACCATGATTGTCTGTAATGTTCCGATCATTAGCATCGGTCTTCTCGCGCCGCACACTGATTGCTTAGACTCACCTGTCCAGTCACATATCCGAAGAGAGGAGAGACCACCCCGAGGATCGCGCGTGCAGCATCCGTGGGAGTCCCAATCCGGCGGAGAGGGATTTCGCTTGCCCTATGTGAGTTTGTGGTATAGGAGTCAGCGTGATTCGAACGATGAGGAATCCCCGTTACACACACCATTTCGCTTCTGCTTCGTCGTAGCCGCCGTGGAATCCGACAGCATGCTTGGTGCCGTCGGGCCTCACCACGTACTCACCGGCAGGAGCTTGGGTCAGTCTGGTTTTGATGGCTCCGAACGCGACCGCTGGCAAAAAAAAAAGAACAAAAATCGTGGTCAGTCTCGAATGGCTGTCGACAGAACAAAGGGGGGCATGGGCGTACTGTTGGCTCTCACACCGTACTCGGGCCCCCATTCCTGGGCCAGTGTTTTGGTCAAGCCTACCAGCCCGGCTTTGGCCAGAGCATAGCTGGCCTGTCCCGCGTTGCCGTAGATGCCAGATGTCGAAGAGATGTTGACAATGTTCCTGGGTTCACCGTCCTTGACCATAAAGTATGGCGCCACTGCCCGGATGAGCTTGAACGGCGCCGTGTTGTGTAGCGTGATGATGGTTTCTGGGGTTCCGTTAGATTCCATGGACGGTACAAGGCACAAATGCACTCTCTCACCCCACTGCTTATCCTGAATCTTCTCGACCGGGTCGTCCCATGCATACCCTGCATTGTTGACGATGATGTGAACCTTACCACGGCCAAACTCACTGGCTTTTTGGACCAGCTTGTCTATGTCTTCGTTGACCGTGATGTCTCCGGCGACGGCAATCGCAGCGCCTCCATCCGCATTGATGGCCTGGGCAGTCTTCTCCGCTTTGGCTGGTGGTCAGGGCCCAGCCGGAGGGCGAGCATTAACATCACTCTAAAGCTCTGGACAGAAAACCATTGTTTGGTCAAGGTGGTAGTTACCAGCGTCAATGTCTGCAATGACGACCTTGCATCCCTCGCGCGCAAATACTGCTGCGGTCTCAGCGCCGATGCCTTGGCCCGCGCCCGTGATGATGGCCGTTTGCCCTGGGATCGTCGGTTAGCGGACTTGAATAGTTTCTGTTCTTTCGAGCCTCTGGCCACATTTACCTGCTAGCATCCCTTGCGGGAAGTTGAGGCGCGGAGCTACACTCATGGTCCGTGATCTGCAAAGAAGATTTGCTCGAGACTATAACGGCGAGAGGAGATGATGTCTTGTTTGCACGCAAATCTGTTCTCGGTTGCTGTCAAACCTACAGAGTGGTAACGCTCTAAAACTATCTAGAGGCGTTTGGGTTTGGATCGCGGGGGGCAAATCTACGATGCGCCCTTTATCCGGGGAGGTTTTTGAAGCCAGCAGGCTGAGATCATCCTGGACTGTCTAGAGTTTGGAGCATCTCTTCAGTCACTGGCGTGGCTCTACGGGCGGCTCCTCCTCAAAACCACCACCACCGTTCGGCCGAATACACTTTTGCAAAAAATTCAAGCCTGAGAATAGAGTCGAGATCGAGGTGGCTCTATGGCAGCCAAGCGTCAGGCTACACTGGACGAACTCCAGAGCATCGGCATAGACCGAGAGCTGACGTCCCGATAACCTTCTGCATGAACGGGCTCGACATCGACGCCAAGGAGCAGTTCATGCGTTAGTGACTAGAGTACGCCTTCAATGAAAGCACGGAACAAGGAAGACATCCGTGAAGATATGTTCTGAATACATGTCTATGCGCTGCGAATGCAGTTCTACGCCGGTAAGTGCACGGTTTGGAGGCGGGTTCGCTGACACCGAGTGTTGCACAATAGAATAATACGTGTCACGTGTCACGTGTCCAGTAGGCTCATCGGCATCCACCGGCGCTAATCTTCGACGGCTTGCCGAAGTCGTCTGAAGACTGATCTCGGAAAACCCACCCGAATTCATCCTCCCGTCTTCGAGCCCGACACCTAAATCTTTCCTCGACAGCCATTTACGGGTGGATCCATGCGGCGGAAGACATGGCCGCGGTAATCGGGAATCATCAAGTCTATCCTTCGAGGTGAAGCACACGAAGTACGATGTCTCATGATATCTCGTCGTGAGATCCCATTGAAAGAACCTGGACATGCGTGGTAGGCTATAGCATTCCTAAAGCCAGGTGTATCCGTATTTGGACGTTGCCTGACGTTGTAGTAGTCGACTGGACTCGTCTACAAATCTACTGAGCTGCACCGCAGTCGGTGTTGTCGCGTCCTCTGGGTCCCAAGTCAGTCAGTCGAACCACCCCTCGGCCGTACTCGACAAGAAGCAAGAGAGAAGCGACATACACTTTGCCCTATACAAGAGGCACTGCTCAGTTCGACGGCATTACCGATCTCGATACCACTGGCGTCCCTCCCTCTTTGACTGAAGTCGGCGAGTTCGCAGGGCCAATATCACAAGCCTCGGGAGAAGCCTCTTGGGATAGTGTTGACTGGATTTATCGCTATCAGAAGGTAGGGAGAAACATTGAATACCTCGGCGCTGAGAATGCTTCGCCTGATGCCCTATCTGCCTATTTATCTGTTGCAACGTTCACACGGCAAATAGCTGGAAAGGGAGTCCGCACAAATCAGAGTCCTCGGACATCGACATTGTCGACGTCGACAAGGCTAGAAGAAATTGATAAGTGGTCTGTGTGTGGCGACAGCGGTCCGTCAAATGGTTGGCCCATTAGGGGTCTCGCCCAGTAGGAGTTGGTCCGGGGCGACTTGAAGTGGAGTAACAAAGAGACATGGTTGCACAGCCGGGGTACCCCACCATCACCACCTACTGCGACATACGGGGAAATAGTACGGAGGGCCCCTACCTTCCTGAAGCCCTTGGGCTTGTAGCCCCCTCCCCCCTCCCGTTGGTGCGCGATTTTTCCAGTTTTCCCATCTTCAACCTCACCGTCCCTTTGTAATTCTGGGTCAGCCTGTGCTTTGATCTCGCAATATCTCTCTCACTCCGTCATGGCCAGACGGAACACTGGCTCTAATGCCGGTGCCGCTTCGAAGCCAGCTCGGGCTTCAGTTGCCTGTCAAAACTGTCGATTGCGCAAAGTCAAGGTTGGTCAAGTTGTGCTACTGATGAATCTCGGGGATTTTACTCGTACTGAGAGAAGCCACTCCAGTGCGACGCGCAGTTTCTTCCCTCGACACAATCCTGTTCCCCGTGTCAACGCACAGGACAAACCTGCCAGCTAGACCCGATGTCGGACGGCCGAAGGTTCGCAGAAACCAAGGAACTCGCGCAATTCCAACCATCAGCTGACGTTGGACACGGTAAACTGTAGGTCTGTGAGCTGGAAGTACGTCGACGAGCTCCAGCAGCGGATACGTGCCCTTGAGTCTCTCAATCACCGACGAGGGGATTCGCGGCCTCCACAGTCGAATAACCACAATGCTGAAGGCCCGGCAGAAGATGGGACTTCAATACCAGCCCACTACCCGTAAGTCACGAGTAAACACCGACGCCCAAGGGCGATCATACATACCCCCAGCTCGAATCTCGTACTCGCACTGTGCATATTCTGACAGCCTAAAGTGCGAACCAGTCTCCGAGCACCCAACAGCATTCTCCACCGCCTCCTGCTTTGAGCCACCCACAACCTGAGCCCGTTGCCGAGACCGCGCTCGACTCTCAGCACCGACGGTCGAACATATTCTATCCAGTTCACGCCCGAAGCCCTCGAGAAAAAGGATCCGACGACATATTATCGAGCTTCTTCGGTCTGACATCCCATCCTCATGTTGGGTCTCCGGTTGAGAGTTCAGCGGACAGCTCGATGACTGCTTGTGCGGACGAAGTGGTGACGCTGGGCATCGATCTCGGTGCCAATTCGCCTCAGCTGAGAAATAACTTGATCCAGTCGTTTTTCAAGTATCAGACACTATGGGTCGACATTGTCGACAAGGAATGTTTCTCCGGGCACCGAAAGCCGGGCACTCACAGTCGCTGGTACAGTGACTTTCTCGAATACACCATGTTGGCGTGCGCGACCCGGCTCCAGACATCGAGCGCGGTGCGCTCCCTCGGACGTGAATATGCCCAGCTGGCCAAAAACGAGGTGTTGGGGGCTCTGCAGGACCCAACGCCTGCCAACCTTCAGGGGTTCTTGCTTCTCAGTGAATACGAAGTGACCCAGGGAAACGATCGACCGGGCTGGATCTTCTGTGGTGAGTGCTCATCCACTGCCCACATCGACCGCCGAGACACCAGCGGCCTTTCCCTCAAAAAACTTCCGGTATACTTAAGCCGTTAATAGGTATCGCGTGCCGAATGCTTTCTGACCTGGGTCTGCATGAGCTGGCGGACCGCAATGGCGATACGGATGGGAAGATGGACGAAGAGACGGCCAGAGAGAGCGCGTTAGCATACTCCCTCCTGTCTGCCTGCATCACCTACGAAGGTGTCTGGACTCTGTACCTAGGCCGGCCGAGCTCCATCCCGGCGTCCATCATGGACATTGCAGCCGCACGGTGCCGCGAGCGCCGTCGGTCGGATTCTCCACTTCTCAACGCCTGGCTCGGACTATGCGTACCCATGTGCCAGATATCCCACGTTCTGAACAACAATCAGGACAGCGGCGGCGGCGACCCCTCAGACTCGTCCTCGCAACTCTTGCAGAGCCTCTGTGCGCAAGTGCAAGCCTGGTACGACAA